ACATTCCAATCTACTAAAATAAGAACTATTTTTTTTACCATCTTCTAGCCGTCTTGCTCTGGATCTTATATGTACTCCTTTTGCTTTATTCAGATATAATTCAACTAATTTAGCTTGTAACCTAACTAGTTCTTCTTCTTGTTTATATCCAATAACCCATTGCTTTTACAACACTCATTGATGTCATTTATCAGTAGTTTTTTAAATTTTTGCTTCTTTCTCATTCTTTTACCATAATCAATTGAATATTCTCTTACTTTATATTTGATAAATTCCCACTTCTTTCCATAAGAACCAATTTCCTCATTTGCCTTCACTGAAGAAAATGTTTTTCTTATCATATTACAACAATGTTCATCATTTAGAAAATTTGCATTAAATTTAATATTTCTGTCTAAATGTTACATCTGTATCATTATATTTCCATGTTTTGCTGTTTGGGTTACATAATTTAACAGAACAGAAGAAATTATCTTAAAATCTAAAAATATATTGGAAATTTGGATGTCCTGCCCTCAGATTTTTTGTATGTTGAATTGTATGTAATAAAGAAAAGTTAATTAAAATTAAATTTAAAAAAAAGTTGTTGGCAACTTTTCACATTTCTTGTTTAAAACTGTACTTTAACTCTTTGCTTGTGTATTTTCTTTGGCCCATTAATCTTATTTTAACTTACATTTGCCATTCATACCTTCATAACTTAACTAGTCTGTTATCTGCATTTTGCTTCATTAACCAAAATGAGCTGTCATTGCTTGCGGTTACGCAGAAGAGCCATGGTCTCCTTTGTGGTACAAAGAGAAGGACACTTGTGACAGATAGCCTATTAATGAGCTGGACAGATATTTAAAAAAATCAGGTAAATACCTTATCAGTTCAAGGCTTTATTGTTGAACAAATGTAAATCCAGTGAGCGCATAGACTGACACGCCGTGTTGGAAAGCAGCCTGCATCGCCCTATAACAAGCCAGTTGTTACACCAGCAAGTGTAATTTTCAATTAACATTGTATTTAAAGCATATTAAAAGCGTATTTAGTCTCTGCAGAGCAAATGTAGATGCTTGAGTTGGTGTTTGGGGCGACTGTGGCTCAGGCGGTAGAGCGGGTTGGCCGTTAATTGGAAGGTTGGCATTCAATCCCGGCTCCTCCAGGCTGTGTGTCGAAGTGTCCTTGGGCAAGATACTGAACCCCGAATTGCCAGCTGTTCCGGCAGTGTATGAATGAGTGTGAATGGTGAATGCAGATGTAGTGTAAAAGCGCTTTGAGTGGTCAAAAAGACTAGAAAGGCGCTATACAAGTACAGAGCATTTACATCAGTCATGTGATTTCCGGATTGATTCTAGCATGTTAACAGAATGAACAGAGCATGGCTTCCTTCTGATGGAAATTAGCCTGTTACTTTTCTCTAATTCACATTGGTTGCTATTTGATTCATACAGTAAACAATGATTTTTGAGATGATGAAAATATGGGTGGATGAAAGAGTCCTGTTGGGCTTTACTCGGGATGCACTTACCCTGCTTCAACAATCAGCTGTTCCCGTGTTACTCACTTTCTGCAGGTGTTTCTGGCTCTGGAACTGTGGTTGTGAGACACATATAAAGTACATAAGGACAATTAATTTCATACATTTTATTAGATAAGGAAATAAAACAGCAAAAGTTGTATTTGTATGTGTTAATACAAAATAAAATAATAACAATAAAAAATTAAATAAAATATAAACATTCTGTAAAAATAAATATTTAAAATAAGTAAAACAATAAGCATGTGTGTGTTAGAAAATGAAAATAATATATTTATGGTTTAAATATATATGGTTTAAAATAAAAAAAACTGTAAGCGTGTTTGTGTGTTAAAAAAAAAAAAAAAAAAAACTAAGTAAATGACACAGTGTAGTGTGTGTTATTATAATAATATATAAAAATTAAAATAAATAGATAAATAGATAAATCTGTAAACATGTGTGTGTATATTAACAGAGAATTATTTTTAAATAAATTAGTTCATTAAAAAAAAGAAAAATATCAGTATCAAATGTGAGATTTAAAAACACAACAATTACTAAAATATCAAACAATCAATATAATAATAATTTGAAAATTTGTACAATTATTTATCAGTCTAAGATTCCACTGGTTGTCATCAGTTCATGGCATGATGAGATATTTTGCAGCAATTATTTCACATTTGGGCATTTCTCCCAGTAAATAGGGGAGTTTCTGTGTGTCTGGTATGAATTTGAATTCGGGGTATATTTGCAAAGTGTTTTTCTCTTAGTGTTTTGTATTTAGGGCATTTAGAAAGTGCAGCTCAGTCTGGATGTTGTCAACATTTTTCTTAGTTTGGGACATTTTATTGTACTCAGGCAATTTGCCAGTGTGAATTCTCTTTTTAGGGTCAGATAACATTGTAATTTACTTTGTGTTTTGGTTGTTTCTTTCCAGTATTCAATATATTTTTCTTTCTGCTTGTTGATAATTTGGTTTGGTCTGCTTGAGTTGGTGTTGCTGTCCTGAGGCTGTTGGGAACTTGTTACTGCAGAGAAACTCAGGACAGCTGGCTGAGGGGACTCTTCTCTGGTTTCAGCAGTAAAAGCTGAAAAGAACTTGGTGTGGGAATGTGGGAAATACAGTCGTTTCTGAGCTTTCTTCACCAGCGTGGAGATGTGAGATGCAATGAAAAGCAATTTTTCTGTGAGGACACAACACTATCTTAAGGTAGTTTATTTTTGTAGAAATGGTGTGTCTGTAAAAATAAAAACTGAAATACATGATTCAGTGACAGTAAATTTATTATTTAAAAAACCCTCACCATTACAATACATCTTGAGAAATGTGTTCAGATACAAATAGCTGGACTTCAGGCTGCTAGGCAAATAGTTATCACCATAATTATAGAGATATTCCAATCCATGACAACAAATGCACAAACCATTCTTCTGAAATGATTATTTGACATATCAACTAGGGCAGTCAGCAGTTTTACATTGAAAACCAGAGAAGGTCACAAGGTATGATATTATTACCCCAAATAACTAGGAGAGATTAATTTGATGAAACCCTGCCAGTTCTGGATTTAACATTTAATATTACGATTACAAGAACTGTAAGGGTATAATGTGGAAGAATATGTCAGTGCTTTATAAAATCCAGTTACACTCTTCAGTAACATCAGATGGCAATCACCATCCAGTCAGTGTCACATTCTTGGTTTAATCAGCAGCCTGGAAGGTTTAAATAATCAACAAAAATCTGCTACAAAACAAAAACAGAAGCAATGTCTATAAAGTTACGCTAAACTTAGGTAATCAAAAATATGGAACTTTCTGCTCTTTTAAACTACAGCAGAGACAAGGGAGTATGTAGTGTGGTGTCTGTGAAGGCGTTTCAACTCACTGCTGGAATGCAGTGACAATGTCACTGACTGCAACATATACAAGAATCCAGTATTGATTACTTAAGTGATGAAGGTAAGCATGAACATAGTCAACCAAGGCCAGGAGAGAACAGAAATGCTGCATTTTATGGTCCATAATATTCTAATAGATTCTTAGAAAGCTTCCTGAAAATAATTTGTAATTTGATATTAATTATAGGGAAAATAAGAATGCCCAAAGTCTCATTCATTATTGAAAAATGTATTCTTTGTGTAAGTGCATCTATGGACAAACTCATACTTCTGCATGTATAGCTGACATGCTGTGTTTACATTAGCTGTATATTTTAATGAGTAATTGGAAGTGTAACAATTAAACATATTTTCCTCTAATTAGTACACTAACATAATTAAATCCAGGAAATGTCTTGGAATTTATTAAAAAAAAATTATTATATATATATATATATATATATATATATATATATATATATATATATATAATTATTTTTTTTTACATTTATTTATTTATTATAAACCCATAAAATAAAGCATTACCGAGCATTCCTCTAAAGCAGAGCACCAACATACAAATGGATTAAAAAACCACACTAAATTCAATACATTACAGATTTCAGTTTTAAGGCAAAGAATGGCCAGACTGCAGACCTTTGGCAACATTTGCTAAAGTGCCACCCAACCAAACCTGTAATGATAGCGGCAGCAGGGCAGACTGGAGCTGGTCGTTAATATCTGGGGCCTTTTCCAGCTCCATTAAATCAAAGCACAACAGTGTTCAGTGACAGGTATATACAGACAAGAGTCATGATTCATTTGGAAAAATTAAAATAAAAGCTTCACACATAATGTCCTCATCAATGATGTCTGTGACACATTAGTGATTAACAATTAACTGTAAATTCTCAAATAGTACCCACAAATCCTTTATTTGGGCTACCTCTACTGCAGTGAGCACAAATTGTTTTATAACTATAGTTGATTATATTTTATTAAAAAGTTCCCTGTTCAACACATTCTCACTCTCAACTCGTCACAGACACCTCAAGCATTGCTTTTTAACGCACTAGTTACCCCTTTAGCATAATTTTGCCGGGCTCGACAGTCAAGTTAGTAATAACAAATATCCAACATCTGGCTAGTCTTAGAAACAAAAACATGCAATTAACATTGTGAAACGGCACATTAATGTGAAATGGTAGTTTGGTTAGGTTTATGCACAAAAACGTCTTGGTTAGGTCGAGTCAAAGATCATGGTTTGGGTTAAAATAAGTATGCTGTTAAATATCTTAAGTTACATAAGCAAAAAAGAATCAACATTAACCACATTTGTTTCACATGGGAAACCAGCACTGGGTGAAACACTTATTTAAACTAGGCCTACTTGTAGAGTTAAACAATGACCTTAAAAGGCCTCCCATTGCATTAAAAGGTGACACCATGAAGTCTTGTGTCCGTCTGTGGCGACTTGGGAGTCCCGATAGCTACTTCTGTTGGACGATAGTGTCCCAGAAATAATTGCGATAAACAATATTGTCATTTTAAGACCATTTTATGCCAATTATTTAATGATAATAGCATAATAATGGAAGCACACCCTTTTAAAGAGCAACTTATTTTTTATTCTTAAGAATATTCATAAATTAGAAATCTCCTAAATAAATAAATCCACACAACCAAAACAACTCAGTACAGCTTCAAATCCCACTGGATGTGTTTCAAAGTGGAGATTTTAACCTGACTGATTTTGCTGACTTTTATTGATTTGGTCATTAGTCCTTGATTTTTGTGCTTCTACCTTCGTTATGTAGGCTATGTAGTTAAATGTTTTCTTTTGTCTCTTAATTATGTTTCTTGTTGATGTAAGATCTGCAGTATGTGTGGTTTTATTTTGAAAACTGACTGGATTCTCTATGCTGTTTCTGTGTTTGACTTCTTGCCCTGTTCATCTGCTCCGTGCTGCTTGGCACACAAAACAGACCCGCTGCATTTGTTCTGCAGACAGACACAAGATGTCCGCTTCTGGTGTTATCCTGAAATCTAAATGCTTGCCAAGAATTGCATGCACCTCGCGGGTGGTAACGCTAATTCATGCTGAGAAAAGGAGGTGGATGCAAATCTCGGCAGGTAGCCTACAACATCTGTTCTGCCGAATTATGCATCCACCTCTTAAGATCCATTTCAGACAATTTGTTGTGCTCCCTGATCAACCGCAGTTATCACCACATATTTTTGCTGAATCATAAGGAATGCTTCTTATACGAAGTGTAATCAAATATTAACTGTAAATATTCATAAAAGATATACTTACAATCATTTATCACCATTGATGTAGCCCACAAAAGGATATTATTGCATTTAAAAGCAGTTTTTGGAGGTGCATGCAATTCTCGACAGGCATGTAAAACTCATAACACCGGACGCAGCCGTGCCCTGTGGAAACAAGAGGACAGACACAGCGCGACTGTCTGAAATGCTGCAATCTTCATTCTCATGTAAAATAACATGCAAGTAAACAGGCAATATTGGCTAAAATGAGGTATCATACATAAGTCGATAATGTAATTATTGTGACAGGCCTGGTTGAGAGTGAGAACGGGTTGCCCTGTTTTCTTATCTGCTCCTGCTTTAACTTGCTGTTAATACATGTTTACCTGTTAAACATGGAACATATAGTGAATAGTCATGTCATTCGCACCACTCTGCTGCTCTCCACAGAAATACGGTTTTCAATCATCTATTAATTTCAGTTGCTATTACTTCTTTTCCAATCCCTGATCAAGCTGCCTTCAATGAAACTATGCACATGCCATTACTTGAACACCTTTCATTTAAAAATTTACAGTAATCCAAATATTTTTACCCCTAATATCAACCAAAAAATGCAACAGCAAATACTGTGGAAATGTGAACCATACCAAGGTCATTCAGAGGAACATGGCTTTGATAATGACTCTTGATGATCAGTGGTGCATTTGGTTGTCTATCACAGACCCTGGCTGTGTTGTGATCAGTCTCCTCGGACAGGCCACTTTGGCAGAGAGGTCAGAAAGGCCCTATTTCATATACAAGTCCTCAGCATCTGAGTGTGCATAGGACAATTCTTTTACAAGGTCAACGGCTTTGTTTGAGGCGGGGCTCGGGGTCAGCCTGCTACTTTTGCAGCCATTCTGCAGTGTCTTTGTGCTGCTTTTATGCTTTTTCTCAGACCGGTGGATCCAGCCTTGCATGTTAGTGACCTGTAATGACAAAGGGCACGGGGGGGACTGGGTGTATGCTGAAAAATCCTGAGTGGTCTGGTAGCATCTTCCCTCTGAATTGTTGATGGGAGAGGAGGTCTTTCCAGAAGACTCATATTCAGGGTCGATGGCCTCCACTTTGATTTGGATGGTTCTGGCTTTGATCCGCAGTTTATGGGGCAAAGCTGAAGAACTGGCATCTGGCACTTTGTGTGTGGAGACAATGACGCTTTTTGGATCACCTATATATGATATTAACCCTTTGGGGACCTGCTGCTCATCCTCACCATCTGATGATTTGCTTACAGCGCCATCATCTGAGCTCCTGGGGGAGTTACTGGATGATCTGGTGATCTGCAGGAATGAAGCAGGCTGGGAGTAGACTCCAGACAATGGACTGGCCCTGTAGTTTCTATAGAGTTCATAGGGACTACTGCTCTCCTGTGCATAGCTGCCATTCTCTGCTGGTTCTTGCTTGACGTCTGAAGTCTGGCAGATACTAAAGCTACCCTTTGTGGTTGCAATACATGTCTCTGGGATGTGAGGTGAATGCTTGATGACTGATATGCAGCTGCTGCGCAGGTGAACAGGCTCCAAATCTTTGCTGGAAGAACCTTGGCCAGCACTGAGTGGAACAAACTCTTGGTAGGGGTTTACAGTGGTGGAGTTGGATAACTTTTGGACTTCTTGAGCATATGCTGTCGAGCTCACCAGGCCAAACTTCAGTTTCAACGACAGCAGCTCAGCCTTGAGGGAGGCATTTTCTTCTCCAAGGGCCATCAGCTTGTTCTCAAGCACCATGTCATTTATACGTCTCTTCTCCCTGGACCGTTTGGCTGCCTCATTGTTTTTGCGGCGCCTCTCCCAATAAAGGTTGTCTTTCTTCTCCTCTGGGATAAACTCCCTTTTCCTGCGACAGGTAGCTTTAGCCTTAAACGGAATTGCAGAGATTTTGTGGCCCATCAGGTCTCTGTTAGCCCCTTGTAAGGCGACAGCCAGGACCAGGGAATCATCTCCACTGTAGGACTCATTGGAGTCCACCTCTTGCTTAATTGATTGCATATTATCACTGCTGGTGACTGTTAACAGGTCTTTACCGGTACACCATACTGCTTGTATGCATACAGTAACTGCCACATTGGATTAATCCACTTCAGTTGAGGAGATCTGTGGAATAACAGACAGTGAAAGGTGGTTTAGATGTCAGTGTCAAGTTCAGGTTAACGATAAAGTTAAAGCAATGTATTTCCACTAACCCTTGTATCTGGTTATAGTTGGTTGTATATCTCACGTCTCAGTACTGCTGAGATTACAAGTTCAAATGAACTTAAAATGTAAGAAAGGAACATAACAGAATTAGTTCCATTTTGAGTCAAGCATGATTCCTCAGATGCTTAAAAAGGTTAAGGTTAAAAAAATATATATATATCGTACAATTTTGAGAATGGTAGGCACAACGAGTGAATATTGTTTTCTTCAGTCTGAAATCACATAATAATCACCAATTCCACTTTTTAAAAAGTACAAGGAACATGGTACAAATATTACAAAATACAAATATAAAAAGGTGTAATATTAAGACAAGAACAATGCTTTGTATTTTCAGTCCAATATCTTGATTAATTTGTACTTTGATGATTTCAATAGTGGATTATTACAACTCATTATCATCTTAAATATAATCTGCATATAGTTTTGAAGTAACCCCTGCTACTTACTACTTACTACTCTTTTAAAAACGGTTTAAAGTAGAGTGCTAGCCTAGTTAAAAAGGCAGTTTAGTCTGTTTTGGGCATCCAAACTCACATACTTCTCTGTATATCCAGAGAAGTAAGAAAGGACTACAAACTGTTGAAATCAGAACAAGAGGCGCAGCAAAAGCTCAAACACAGAGGCACAGAACTACAGGACACGGTCATCCAACAAACTCCCACATAACTAATGTTAGTTATGACTGCGGCAGAAAGATGTCTGTTACAGAAAGAAAGATCAAATGTCCCAAATAACTCTCTCCCCTGACTTTGTGTCTGCACTTTGTTAGTGGCTTGGGTCTACATTTACGAAATTAATACAAAATTCTATGAAATTCCCATTTTACTATTTGAAATACCAGCCACAGCAAATTAACTCACTCCAAAGATTTCCTTGTCTATTTTCTGAGATCAATGGGTCAGGATCCTCCTTTTTGCGTATCATATGACATCAAGTGTAAATTTGGAACACCGTGGTAAACGGAGGGCTCGCCGTTCTGCCCCAGATTCCTTCATTGTGTCTGTTTCACAGTAAACGCAGCGCCGCGCTGCCTCCTCCAGCATTATGCAATATTTACCAGTGTGCAACACCACGGGCCTTCAATCTTATTGAATCCACAGAATGAACGCTGTTTAACACTGTAGCCATTCACTGCTACATGACATCACTACCTTGCTTACTCACGACCCGACGGCAGCAGCGTGGGGTCTACCTCCGCCCCGACAGAGCTGTTACAATGTGACGACCAACTTCATCAGGTAATGTTACTTTACAGAAAGCTTTGCGTTGGAAACGATAACGGACAGCAGCTGCGGGGGTCCTAAAACTGCAGCTATGTAATACTGCAGCAGCCACACGGCTGTGATAACGACTGCCAGCCACATCACAGTTTGGGTTACAACACTATGTCGCAATCAAAATGGGAAATGAGCAGCAGCCAAACGCTGGGAACATATCACAGTGGCTAGATTCCACACAACAGGATTCACTGCTGAGTGTGAACATACATCTGTCAGCGTTTATGTTCACATTTAAAAAGTTTATTTCCCACCCTGGTCTGAATTAATAAACTCTAGCTCGTATCATTAGGCCTTCGTAACGTTAACGTTAACCTTCTGCACGAGCGAGCGGCCAACCAACCGGGATGATAACGTTACACAGAACCTGAGCCTGGTTCGGTTACTAACGTGGATCCTCTGACTTTAAACTGGGATTAACCTCCGCAGGTCAGACACATGACACAAATCTAAGCTAGCTGTGCGCCGCTGGACTCCGACCGTTTTCAGAACACCACCCGCACAACTGTCTGGAACACTAGCAGTGAGGCTACGGGTTGCAAAACTGTAACGTTACCTTTTCTTACGCCTGGTTGGAAGGTTCGGTCTGGTTTCCACAGTGTAACAAACACATGGAGGAAGTTTAGAAGTCGCATCAACTGATGAATAACTCGATAAAATCCTACACGTTAGGAAGTAGCCTACCTAGTTTTCCTGCCTCGGCGAACTCCTCTGAAGGTGGATTCTGACTCGTGGATCTGTGTTAGTAGGTCACTGCTTAAGTGGATTGCGTATTTAGAAGCATGACATTAAATGACATTCACTGCAGCCAATCAGAATGCAGAATTTTCCAACTTCAGCCAATGGCTCTCGGTTCACCACAGAGCTCAAATCTCATGTATGTCGTCACCCACGGCGCGCGTGGGGCTGGGGGTTCTTCCACACATCTTTCATGTTCGTGCCGTACTGCTGTACACACGAGCACCTTTATAAACAAATAACTTCACAATGTGCAGTATGCAGCTCTTCTACTACTACTAATAACAGTGAGTAATACTAAAGTATAGTTAAAATGCAAAAAAAATTACACTACTAGGCAAGATTCCATAAATAAACTGTCACCACCTGCACAAACTTCATTATGTCATATGGATATCTGATGGTGGAAGAAACATTTTGATCCTTTATTTTATTCAAATGAGCAATGCATCACTCTGTAAAAACTCTTCATTAAAGTCAAAATGTTATGAACAATATATTCAATATATATATTCTATCTCATATCGTATATATTATTATATTATCATTTATTTATATATATATATATATATATATATATATATATATATATATGTGTGTGTGTGTGTGTGTGTATACTTGAAATAAAACATGATTTGTTGAGTTTGGATAAAGTTTGGATTTGTGAAAGTGAAAAGAAAAATTAACCTAATTGCTTAACTGAGAGCAATACAAGAAAATAACAATTTATAAAAGTAACCACATGTATAAATGGTCTGAAAAGAATTTCACTTAGATCCGCTACAATATACAATGCATCCCAATATCTACTAAATCTACCCTGCATGCAGTTCACCCACATGAAGAGCCTGGCTCTGGGCTGTTATTTTCTTCCCCACCAGCTTTGCGACAAGTCCCGCCCTACTGTGCTGTGATTGGCTAGTACTTGTTACCTCGACATCTTGTTTTCAGCCCCCTATCAACATTAGTGACACAACTGACATCAAAGATAATGCAATAATATCCATCCATCCATCGTCAACCGCTTATCCTGCATACAGGGTCGCTGGGATGCAATAATATATCAATATGTTTTAAGTCTTCACATCTGCAGATGGAGTGGAACTCAATTTAACCCCTTGTTCAAAATAACAAAATAGGGAAAGTTAATTAAAGGCAATCAGTCACCAAGAGCCAGTTGCACCAACAGGGCTTACGCCTGGTCTTAAGGTAAGTAGATTTTAACTCAGCATTGTAAGTCCGACCTAATAGTTACGCCAGTAGCACCATCTAGGCTTCCCGCTAAGACGGGGCGTAAATCTTATGCCTAGTCAGAAACAGGCGTAAAGTCAAAATCTAGGAATGTTTCTATAGTAACAACTTGATAACTCAGCAGAAAAAAACATGGCATGCCTTATACACAGACTTTACAACGAGCAGGCTATTAGACAGGAGAGAGTTATTAGGGACAGAAGCAATCCATTTACAATGATGAGTTGATTGAGAGGTTTCCATTCTGTCGGAGAGATATACAGTGAGGAAAATAAGTATTTGAACACCTGAGAAAATCAATGTTAATATTTGGTGCAGTAGCCTTTGTTTGCAATTACAGAGGTCAAACATTTCCTGTAGTTTTTCACCAGGTTTGCACACACTGCAGGAGGGATTTTGGCCCACTCCTCCACACAGATCTTCTCTAGATCAGTCAGGTTTCTGGGCTGTCGCTGAGAAACACGGAGTTTGAGCTCCCTCCAAAGATTCTCTATTGGGTTTAGGTCTGGAGACTGTCTAGGCCACACCAGAACCTTGATATGCTTCTTACAGAGCCACTCCTGGGTTATCCTGGCTGTGTGCTTCGGGTCATTGTCATGTTGGAAGACCCGGCCTCGACCCATCTTCAATGCTCTAACTGAGGGAAGGAGGTTGTTCCCCAAAATCTCACAATACATGGCCCCTGTCATCCTCTCCTTAATACAGTGCAGTCGCCCTGTCCCATGTGCAGAAAAACACCCCCAAAGCATGATGCTACCACCCCCATGCTACACAGTAGGGATGGTGTTCTTGGGATGGTACTTATCATTCTTCTTCCTCCAAACACGTTAGTGGAATTATGACCAAAAAGTTCTATTTTGGTCTCATCTGACCACATGACTTTCTCCCATGACTCCTCTGGATCATCCAAATGGTCATTGGCAAACTGAAGACGGGCCTTGACATGTGCTGGTTTAAGCAGGGGAAACTTCCGTGCCATGCATGATTTCAAACCATGACGTCTTAGTGTATTACCAACAGTAACCTTGGAAACGGTGGTCCCAGTTCTTTTCAGGTCATTGACCGGCTCCTCCCGTGTAGTTCTGGGCTGATTTCTCACCTTTCTTAGGATCATTGAGACCCCACGAGGTGAGATCTTGCATGGAGCCCCAGTCCGAGGGAGATTGACAGTCATGTTTAGCTTCTTCCATTTTCTAATGATTGCTCCAACAGTGGACCTTTTTTCACCAAGCTGCTTGGCAATTTCCCCTTTCCAGCCTTGTGGAGGTGTACAATTTTGTCTCTAGTGTCTTTGGACAGCTCTTTGGTCTCGGCCATGTTAGTAGTTGGATTCTTACTGATTGTATGGGGTGGACAGGTGTCTTTATGCAGCTAACGACCTCAAACAGGTGCATCTAATTTAGGATAATAAATGGAGTGGAGGTGGACATTTTGAAGGCAGACTAACAGGTCTTTGAGAGTCAGAATTCTAGCTGATAGACAGGTGTTCAAATACTTATTTGCAGCTGTATCATACAAATAAATAGTTAAAAAATCATACATTGTGATTTCTGGATTTTGTTTTTTAGATTATGTCTCTCACAGTGGACATGCACCTACGATTACAATTTCAGATCCCTCCATGATTTCTAAGTGGGAGAACTTGCAAAATAGCAGGGTGTTCAAATACTTATTTTCCTCACTGTATATGAACTTATGGAAGAGCTGTCGCCCGACTTACAGTTGTTAATAGCACTATGTTTTTATGCAAATAGTGGTTTCAAAACACTGTTGTAGATGATGATTAATGTCCACCAATCCACTGCATGTCAGGCCATCTGCATGACGCATGTATCCTACCAGGATTTCGAGGCTGGAAGAGTAAATGGGATGTTTCTCGGCGACAGTGGATACTCACTGAAACACTGGCTGAGCAAGAACGACGGTATAATACCATCCACACCACCACTAGGTCACCTGTTGAGCGGTGCATCGGAGTCCTCAAGCTCAGGTAAAATCCTTTCCACAGTGTCTGTGTCAGCATCATGGATAGCGGCATAGTGCTGTCACTAGATCACTCCTATATAAATAGGCTATATAAACAAACTCGCCAAAAGTGACACATTTGGGTTTGTCAGTAATCATAAACTACGGCTATTTTTTCTGGGATTCATTGTCTTCATGGGGAGATGCAGATGCACCCTGAGCAAGTCTGCACCATAATAGTAGCGCGCATTGTCCTCCACAACATCTGCGTCACCAAGAGGATCCCTCTCCCTAGGCAACACCATCAGCTGGTGCAGGAGGAAGGTGTCCACCCTGTAGACCGTGCAGGGAATGAAGACATTATTAACGCTTTATAAATGTAAACTATTGCTTCACTTCAAAATAATTCTGCTAATTGTATGCTGGTTGTAAAGCATTAATAAATAAGCCATAAAGAAAGGCCAGTATAATAAACATATTTTATTTACATATAATTGCCATTGATTAATTGCACACAATTTGTCATTAGGCTTAATTACAGAATTACAAAGGCCCCCCCTGTCACGAACCCCCGGCCGTGATGATTGAGTGTTTGCGTGCTGGGTGCTTGTTATGTTTTCGTCTTGTCTTGTGGCGTTTGTGTCACTTTCCTGGCAGTGTTCGGGGGGCGTGCCTTTCTCTGGCTGCTCACACACCTGGCAGAGGTCGTCACTGCACCTGCACCTCATCAACCCAGCAGTATTTTAGGAGCAGCCACACATCCACTCAACGCCGGATCGTTGTGAAGTATTATGTATGTTACCATTTTCCAGCCAGTAATTGAACTAAGTTACCCGTTTCTGCCCGCCTGAGCTAATCGCCTCTCATCTGTTGTGCCCACAACTAACCGTGTCTCTGTCTCAGGAATCATCTCTGGAGATCGGCCCTGGATACTCAGTCCCAGAACTCAACTCACTCTGCTCACGCCTCCCTTAAAACAGTGTGTGGACCTCCACCCTCCAAGCCTGTCAGCCAGCCACTCTCAGGAACGTCCCCCACCCCTGGACCCCCACTCTTGACCTCCAGCAGCCCCCCCCCTGCACAATAACTTTGTCAAATAAACCGTTGAAAGCACCATCACTTGTCCGGCCTGCTTCTGGGGCTCCCTCTGAATCCTGACACACCCATCCTCTTCAGAAAAAGGAGAAGAAGACCTGTTTATCTGTTATTGGAGCAACAGATTTTCTAACGCTATTTTTTGTTTTTCAAGTTCCAGCTTTTCCTACTTGGTCAGTGATTTTTTTTTTTTTTTGTTTCATTCTCCACTCTAACAATTTCTTTCTCAAAAAGCATCTGCTGCAGATCATCCAGCCTCCTCTGTTTCACCGGCGGTGCACCACTGCTGCCTTCATGGGAAGTTTGTGGAGTGACTGGGGCCTCCATTGAGTCTGAAAATATAGAGAATCTGTCATAGGCTGTAATGGAGACCAGGGGTTCCATTACCTGAAATAGTCAACTGAGTATTAAGGTGGGGATTATTGATAAAGCAGGAGCCATACACATTATTATTTTGATTGTTTATTTAATTTGTGAAACATTTGATAGCTGTCGTTGTGAGTAGTTCCACAGGGGGGGTCTGGCCATCCTGCCTGTGTGGAAAGAAACCTCAATCAGTGATAGTCAAGGTTCACGACATAGTATTGAGTGCTTTTACTCCATTTCAGTTAGTTGTTAAATTAGTTTAAACAAGATAAGATGAACAATGCAAGTACTCACCTCTTTCTGGTTGTCTCTTCAGCAGGGGGCGGAGGCAAAGGAGTGTTGTAGGCCCAAGCACCTGCTTAAGAGCTGCAGAAGCAAACCATGAAGCTGAGAGGGGGTGGGGAGTAAAGCCATCAACAATGCTGATTTATGTGATTATTTTGAGTATGCTTTGATTTACTGATAGAAATTTGTATTTATGTAAATATTCATTCTTTGGGCTCTATTTTTCTGTGGTGTTGGGTTTTTGGGTAAATATTTATTCTAAATGATGGTGGTCCCACCTGAGTAGTTTTACCCACTTAATTACCTGCAGGAGGGAGTGTATAAAAGGCAGCAAGTTACTTTTTTTTTTTTTGTTGTTGCTTGTTGGTGTCGGTGTTGTCACGGGTTTGTGTGCTTAAGCAGTTAGTAGGTTGGAGGACCCAAATGCAGGACACGAAAGCCAGCAGGAACAGTTCAGAAGGGTTTTAATACAACAAAAGGTGAGCACACTTACAAACTGAGTGGCTAAAGACAGAGTCCAAAAACAAAGGTTGTCCAACAGAAATCCAACATACAAAATCCAATAACGAGCAGGGAAACAGGGAGACACAACGAGTGAGGCTGACGACACGAGAAACACACTGCTACACAGGGTGACAACATACAATGACCCGACAAGGACAAGACAGAAACACCAGGTATATACACACACACACAGGGACTAACGAGCAGGGCGGGAGCAACACAGGTGAAAGACATGAGGCTAACGAGGCACAGGCAGGGAGAGAGAGAGCAGGGGAAAACTGGGACAGACATGCAGAGGGATCACTGGGGTAACAGACATGACAAGGGTTACCGAACACTAGACGACAGACAAGACAGACCCCCAAAACCCAACAGACCAAAATAACGCTAACTAAACACAAAAGGGCAAAACATGGCATGGCAGACAGGCAGAGTGTGACAGGTGTCTCCTCTTGTCAGTATGGAAGACAATAAATGCCACGTTTGTGCTTGCATTTTACCTCTGTCTCATGTCTCTCTCTGAAAAATGTAAAGCCACCGCCAGGCCATCGGACATAGGCCTACTGTTATCTGACAACTTCTAAGACTTAACTGTTATTGTACTGTAATATATACGCTACACACCTTCACAATTCACACTCTCGCTTGAGTGGTCAAAATCCATCTCTGGAGAGACAGCAGTTTCTTCCAGGTTGGTTCCAACACTTTCTGTACCGACCAAACCAGTAACACCCAGGGAATCCTCTCCAAAGATATCCACAATTATGGCACTGTACACTGAAGTTTTTTGGTGGAAGAACCCTCCGGTCAGGTGTTTTTTTTTTTTTTTTTTTTGGAAGACAAATCTTTTTGCGCGTTGCTCAGAAGGTCTTTCCGATGGCAGCCTCAGTCTGAGCAATCGTTATCGCCTATGTTATCCATGTTGTTTGTTTCTTCTTGTTAGTTATTGAGTGTGATTGCTTGGCAGTCAGTGTGTGTCTGTGCTGACTGTACAGCTCTATTAACTTTCGTATCTCAATGTTGGTCAAATTTATTTTTCTTTGATCTTCCATTGATACGGCTACAACTTAACGAAACAGCGGAAGATAGTTTACAACGTATCCTAGCAACACACACTGCCCTACAACAGCTTTAGTTCCGTGGCCATTCACATGAACGCGCATCACTAAGGCCAGGCATAGTTAAGCCTAGGCTTAAGTTTAGTTGGTGCAACTGATGTTCAGTCATTTCTAAAGAACACGGGGATCTTGCCAATGTGGTTTACTTCAGCAGGCTAACAGTAGTACAACAGCGTGGAGTGTAGTAGCTTCACTGTATCTACATTCATTAGTAAAAACCGTATGATACTACAACAGTGGCGCATAGTGGTATAGAGTAGCGGTTGAATATAAATGATGAACACAACAAAGAGCAACTGGAAGATGCATTGGAGACAGGACTAATCCAAAAAGGCAGTTTTGTTTATACAAAAAGGGTAATATTATTATTGGTTATGTAACAAAATATATGAAAAGGTGCAGTTCATGTGCTCTGTTTTGGTCATGTTCATGTACTTAATTCAGTTTTATTTATATATAGCACCAATTCATAACAAAAGTCATCTTGTTGCACTTTTCATACACTCAACGCTCTGGCTCCCACTCCACTTTTGGAGACTCTATGAACCACAAGTAACCCTGCATTCTGGGAGCGCATTCCTCTGGTGGGGTAGTAAGGTACTATAAGCTCTTTAAGATAAGATGGTGCCTGACCATTAAGAGCTTTGTATGTGAACAGAAGGATTTTAAATTCTATTCTGGATTTTGCAGGAAGCCAATGCACAGAAGCTAAGGCTGTGTTCGAAACGGAAGGCAGTTGCCTCGCTGCCTCGATACCGTAATAGACAGCTGTCTCAGAAGGCATCACTTTCAAGTGAAGGCGGCTCTGTTTACATTAGTTTCGAATAGCCCTCTAGGTCAGCACTTACGGCAACGTGTGACGTCAGCACGCCGTCTTGCGTCTCTTCTGGCTGTCAGAAGAGACACTAGCCTTAGCATCAGCTAATATAATAATAATCCTTATTTGTAGAGCACTTTTCAAAAACAAGTTACAAAGTGCTTTAACAAGTGTAAAGAATAATACAAAAAAAAGATAAGAGCATGAAAATTTAATATAAAATTAGTAAAATACAATAAAATAAAAGGGATAAAATAAAGTCAAATAAGATCGGGAAAAGCTCTCCTATAAAAGTATGTTTTAAGAAGGGACTTAAAAGAGTTCACTGACTCAGCCGACGTGATTTCCTCGGGCAGGCTGTTCCAGAGCCTCGGGGCCCTGACAGCAAACGCTCTGTCCCCTTTAGTTTTCAGTCGAGACTCTGGAACAGACAACAGACCTCTGCCTGAGGATCTCAAGGTACGTGCTGGTGCGTATGGGACTAAAAGGTCAGAAATATAACAAGGCGAGAGGCCATGAAGAACTTTAAAAGTGATCAATAGAATTTTAAAGTCAATTCTAAAACATACTGGGAGCCAGTGTAATGAAGCTAAAATAGGAGTAATGTGGTCATATTTCTTTGTTCTGGTTAAAAGCCTGGCAGCTGAGTTCTGGACAGTCTGGAGTCGATCAATAGATTTTTGGGTTAAACAGGTGAAAAGGCTGTTGCAATAATCCAGGCGTGATGAGATGAAGGCGTGTAAAATGGTCTCGGTGTCCTTAAAAGTTAACATAGATCGAATTTTAGCTATATTTCTAAGTTGATAAAAACATGATTGAACAAGCTTTGTGGTGTGCTGCTCGAAATTTAAATTACTATCAAACCAAACACCAAGGTTCTTTGCCACAGGCTTAATGTGATTTACTAGGGAACCAGCAGATGGCAGTATTTGATTTGCCATCTGCTGGGACCCGATGACCAGGATTTCTGTTTTGTCTGAGTTCAGCTGGAGGAAATTATTTGACATCCATTTTTTAACTTCACAAAGGCAGTTGTTAAGTGAACTCAGCATTCCAGGGTCTGTGGATCTGACGGGCAAGTATATTTGTGTGTCATCAGCATAAATATGAAAAGAAATGCCATGTTTATGGATAATATGTCCAAGGGGAAGCAGATACAAGGAAAACAAAATGGGTCCTAAGACCGACCCCTGAGGCACACCATATTTAACTGGACAGAATGAAGAGACATAGTTGTTTACAGACACGCAAAACTTCCTATTTGACAGGTAGGATGAAAACCATTCTAGAGCAGTACCAGAGATCCCCACCCAGTGCCTCAGTCTGTCTAACATGATGTTGTGATCAATGGTGTCAAAAGCAGCGCTAAGGTCCAGGAGTACAAGGACTGAGCACATACCTTCATCAGCAGACATTAAAAGGTCATTGGTGACTTTAAGCAGGGCAGTCTCAGTGCTGTGGTACTTCCTAAAACCAGACTGAAACTTTTCAAATATTTTGTTATTTTCCAGCACAGTGAGCAGCTGTTTGGACACAATTCTTTCTAGAATCTTTGCAATAAAAGGCAGTTTTGAAATTGGTCTAAAATTTTGTGGGAGGGAGGGATCTAAACCAGGTTTCTTTAAAAGTGGGTTCACGCAAGCCGTTTTAAAATAATCAGGGACACAACCAGTAGATAGGGAGCTGTTGAAAACAGAGATCAAATGGGGCCCAACAGAATCTATTACTTTTAGTAAAAATTTTGTAGGTATTATATCAAGTGGGCCGGAGGACACTCTCATTTGTGATATTGTTTTTAAAAGCTCAGACAAGTCGATGGGATAAAACTGGTTAAAACTCTGTTGTTGCTGGTGAGGAACCTCTGAGTAAGAGGCCACGGGGGTAATAGAGGCTCTGATTGACACCACCTTATTGGTAAAATAAGATAAAAACAATTCACAGTCATCATTACTTCCAGCTGAGGCACAAGGAGGGGTTGGGTTTACCAGCTGATCCACAGTCTTAAACAGAAACCTGGGATTGTGTTTATGTGTAGTAATGAGTTCAGAAAAATAGTGTGTTCTCGCATCCTTAACCATTTTATTGTAGTTAATTAATAAATCCTTCAGACTGAGGTAATGGACTTGGAGATTGGATTTTTTCCATCTGCGCTCTGCTTTCCTGCATTCCCTTTTTAGGCTGCGAATGCTGTCATTTATCCAGGGTTGTTACTAGCTTTAGACGTAGGCCTAACCTTTAGAGGAGCAGTAATATTTAGTGACGACAAGCAGATATGATTGAAGTGATCAACCAGATTGTTGGTGTTGGAATCAGACAGGTGTTGGCTTTGGCTCTGAAAGACTGCGCAAAACTTTGAAACACTTTGTTCATTAAAGATGCGACAACACACGGAGCTTGGTGAGGCGGCATGAGTAACAGGCGAATCGCAGCTAAAAACAATACATCTGTGGTCAGATATGGTCATGTCCACTAATTCCACAGAGGAAATGCTGACACCCAGGGTAAAAACCAAGTCCAGTGTATGACCACGGTTATGTGTTTGTCCTTTGACATGTTGTTTGAAGTTAAAAGAAGTGGCCATATTTAAAAGTCAGTTGCATTGACATTGTTGGGGTCATCAACATGAATATTAAAATCGCCACATAGAACAATTCTGTCATAATTTAAAACCAGAGTAGATAAAAATTCAGGAAGTTCTGATAAAAATCCTCCAGGCGGTTTTGGGGGGCGATAAATTATAACAAATATGATAGGTTGCAGCCCTCCAACTTTAAGAGTGAGAACTTCAAAGGAGCTAAATTCATCACAGCGTACTTGATGACATTTAAAATTTTTCCTATACACGCTCACTAGCCCACCACCACGACCACTGACCCTCGGTTGACTAAAGCAATCATATT